TACATTTTACTTAAGAAAGAGATAAAACTAAGAACCTGTATTTGTACTTCTTTTTATTTACATAAAAATCATGGGAAGAATACGCACATGCTTATAGGGAGGGGGAGTTAGGGTCAGGATGGATGGGAAGTAAATTTTGAAACTATATTAATCTTTTGTCAATAAGTAAATAGAAATAAATACATAAATGGAAATAATGAGGATAGGAAAAGATGAATTTCACAAAAAATGTTAATAATATTTTTCCCAGCAATTGAATTTTTAAAAATTCTTTTCCAGAATTTCTGCATGGCTAGTTTATTATTTTCTAGTATAAAAATTAACCCCTGTATTTTAAAGAGTTGTTTCGAGCTCACTCACAGCATTAAAGATATAACCAGTGAGCTATATATTAGTCTAGATATGCAGAGGCACCAATAATTCAGGAACTGAGAACTTGCAGAAAGCATGAGGCTAAGCACAAATTTTAGAGAATATGTTTCATATGTATGTTTCTTTGGGGAAGGAAATAACATATGTGAGAATATTTTTATTTTTAAATTTAATTATGTCCTTCCTTGGCAATTGACCATTCTTCTTGTAATCTCAGGGAAAAAGATCAGTGACTAAAGTTTTGGATCTAGTAGTTTAATGTTCTTAATCTGAGACAGTCCATTAATTTTATGGTTGTTCTCAGACAATATGTTTGTTCCTGGCTCCTGCCCCAAGCTACTCAAATACCATTGATTTTTTTTTCTCCACCTTAAAAATATTGACTCAGCTGCTATGATTAAAAAAGCAAAGTAATTCAATTCCAAATATTTACTTCCACCTCCCCTTTTCTGATCAACCAGAGAAAGTTAATGTGGTAATCAAATTAAAATATAGTTAATTCAATAATAGTTAAAACTAATTTTACAGTCTCCTTACTTCTGTAACACATTGAGTAGAAATTCTTTTTTGTTGCTGATATTTTGATAGTTGTTTTAACATACATTGTATAGTGTACATGTATACATTAATATACATTGATTTCTCACACTGAAGAAAGCACATGTCTCCAGTAAGGCCCTATATCAAGACAATGTTACAACTATAAACCAACATGAATGTTTATTGCATTCAATCTTTAAGTCAAGTATTGTTTGAGCATGGAAGATTTAGCAACACAGAAAGCATATAAGATCCCTGCTCTCATGGTGCTTACAATTTAATAAAGGAAGAAATGCTCACATACATGTATGATTACATACATACATACGTAAACATAATGAAATTATTGGATAATGTAAAGTACTATGAAGTTATTTATATTGGGTGGTATGATTGAAAATCCTGAGTGGCTGGCTGCGTTAGATTGGCTGATCTAGGAAGGCCTCTCTGAGCAGTTTTAGGTGCAATCCAGCCAATAGATAAAGAGGAGAATGAAATGTCTGCAAGGAAGGCAGGGGTAATCAGTTCCAGCTTTATAAACTCAGGTTAAGTGTTTGAGAAGCTATTAGAGGGTTTTAAGTATGGTATCACCTGATTTGTATTTTTAAAAGAACACTCACTATTACATAGAAAACTGGATTGTTGAGGGGTGACAGTGGATGTAGGAGCCCAGACTAGTTCAAGCCAGAAAAGATGGCAGCATTAAGATGAAGAAAAGCAGAATTATTTGGAATATGTTTTGGAGGTAAACAGGAGTTGGCAATGTGTTGGGCATGGGGCTTAAGGAAAGAGAGGAAACAAGGGTAATACCTGGATCTTTGTTTGATTACTAGAATACTGGGTTAATGATGATAATGAAAGGGAAAAGCAGGATTTGGGGGAAATCAAGAATTCAGCTTAGGTCATATTCAGTTTGAAGTACCCATTATACATACAAGAAAATGACAAGTAGTCTGAATTCATAGAGTCAGAGCCTAGAGATTGAGTTTTAAGAGTCATCAGACTATAAATTGTATTTAAAGCCTCTAAATGAAATGAGGTAATCTAGGAAGAATGTGTAGACTGGTTAAGGTAGGAGGGCCAGCGAAGATGTGCAGGGCACATCTACACCTAGAGGACTTACAGAGGAGAGAGAGCCAGCAAAGAAAGCTCAGGAGGGGTCAGTGGAGTGGGAAGGATGGACGCAGTATCACGAAAGCCACAAGAAGAAAGTGTTACAAGAAGTAGTCATCTGTGTCAAATGCTGCTGAGCAGTCAAGTGAGAGCCGGACCAGAGAGCTGACAAATGGATTCCACCAAAAGGAAGTCATTGGTGAATGTGGCAAGAGTAGTCTCAATGGAGCAATGTAAAAGCAAGTTCAATTCAAGTGAGTTGAAGAAAGAAGCTGAGATGGAAAAATGGAGATGGAAAGGAGTTACTATAATTAACTCTTCAAAAAGTTTTGATGTGCCTTTTGGCTATCTGAGCAGTACCGTGGTGGTCAGCAAGAATAAACGCCTTACAAAAGGTGGCAAAAAAGGAGCCAAGAAGAAAGTGGTTGATACATTTTCTAAGAAAGATTGGTATGATGTGAAAACACCAGCTTTGTTTAATATAAGAAATATTGGAAAAACACTAGTCACAAGGACTCAAGGAACCAAAACCGCATCTGATGGCCTCAAGGGTTGTGTTTTTTGAAATGAGCCTTGCCAATCTGCAGAACTATGAAGTTGCATTTAGAAAATTCAAGCTAATTACTGAGGATGTTCAGGGAATAATCTGCCTGACCAACCACCATGGCATAGATCTTACCTGTGACAAAATGTGCTCCAGGGTCACTAAATGGCAGACCGTGATTGAAGTTCGTATTGATGTCAAGACTACTGACGGTTATTTGCTTCGTCTGTTGTGTGTTGGTTTTACTAAAAAAAAACACAACAATCAGATTTGGGAGACCTCTTACATTCAGCACCAACAGGTCTGCCAAATCCAGAAGAAAATGATGAAAATCATGACCCAAGAGGTGCAGACAAATGACTTGAAAGAAGTGGTCAATAAACTGATTCCAGACAGCATTGGGAAAGACATAGAAAAGGCTTGCCAATCTATTTATCCTCTCCATGATGTGTTCGTTAGAAAAGTAAAAATGCTGAAGAAGCCCAAGTTTGAACTGGGAAAACTCATGGAGCTTCATGGTGAAG